CAGACATTTCATAAATATTATTTACTTAGGTATTTAATATCACTTGTACTAATATAACCTTTTAATTCTTTGTAATTTTACATATGTCCATAAATATTATTTAACTAACTTAGGTATTTAATATCACTTGTACTAATATAACCTTTTAATTCTTTGTAATTTTACATAGTGAGACACTAAGTGACTAATATATCCCTGACTTTTATTTGTTTCCTTCAATTAGCTATTGAATAATAAATATATTTTAAAAGTTGATAATTTTTATATTTTTTATCGGTTTAAATATATAATATATCAAATTAATCATCTTTTGATGATATTCGATTTGACATCCATATTGTATATATGAAATAAATAAATTATATTTATCTTTATAATAATAAAAATAATAATATTTATTAAAATTCATTAGAAAAATAAAATTATTTCTCAATTGATATATTTTTGTTTAATGTAGTTATATGTTGTAAGTTAAAAAAATTATTATAATATAACACATGTAAGTCACACAAATAAAAAGTGACATTTATTATAATATAACACATGTAAGTCGCACAAATAAAAAGTGACATACTAAATATATAATAAAATATATATTTTTATAAAAAGTATTTAAATTTTCAACTACTTTTTCTCATTAATTTTAGATTTTAAGGAAAAAATTAGCAAGCACCCGTGTAATACACGGGCGTTGTACTAGTAATAATAATTCCCAAATGCGCTGAGGCTAAGTGGCAGACCCGCATGCTTCTGGATACTATGTGTCAAAATTTCATGCTTCATTGTTTGGCTTCGATAAATTTTAATTTAATTTTAATCCCAAAATAATTAGGTTCGGATTACCATAAATATATTGATTTATTTATGATCATTTTAAATGTATTAATTGTATTTTAATACTATTTCCTATTATAACCATTGAATTGTAAATGTATTTTAAAAGTTGATAACTTTTGTATTTCTTATCGATTTTACATATATAATATATCAAATTAATCGTCTTTTGATGAGTTTCGATTTGACACCATTTTGTATATAAAAAATAAATAAATTATATTTATGTTTATGATAATAATAAAATTATTTACTAAAATTAATTAAAAAATAAAATTATTTCTCAATTAATATATTTATGTTAATGTAATTATATGTTATAAATTAGAAACATTATTATAATATGACACATGTAAGTCACACAAGTAACAAGTGTCATACTAAATTATATAATAATATATATTTTTTTATAAAAACTATTTAAATTTTCAACCACTTTTTTCGCATTAATTTTAAATTTTAAAAAAAAAAAATTAACAAGCACCCGTGTAATACACGGGTATTGTACTAGTAACCTTATATAAGCATAAAAAGAAAAAAGAATAAGGTCATCTATTATTATCGGACAATTTAATGATGTTTATAGGAATAATATTAGTTCTATCTATAGTTTTTAAACCGGGACCGGAAATCGATCAGGGCAGGTCTCCGGATCACGGGTCACCGGTTCAATTGCCGGGTCACTGGGTCAATTGCTGAACCGGATAATTAATTTTAAAATTTTTAAAATTATATTTATAGTATTTTTTATATATAAATATACATAAAAGTAACAAAAATAAATGTTTTGTATATAAAATTTGTACATTTAAGTGTTAATAATATTGAGTCTCACAACAAATATTTACTACGTCATTATATGAACATAGTTTTTATTTCTTATATAAAAAAAATTATAGAGACCGGGTCAACCGAGTTGACCGGCCGGATCAATGGCCCGGGTCGACCGAATCAATGCCAGGTCGGTCGAGCTTTGACCGGGTTTGACCGAGTCCATTGTTACTTGGACCGGTTTCGGCCGGGTCAACCAGGTCCTGGGTCAACCCGCCAGACCGATCCAGGTCACAAAACCATGGTTCTATCAGTTTCTCTTGTGTCTGAAACTACACTTTGTTTTACAAATATATAGTATATATTTTCATAAAAGAGTGTCTTATTTTAAAATAATATAAACAAAAGTTTGACGTGTCATAATAAAACTACACATATTTATTTAAATAATATATATACCACATCGATGTAACTAATTAATAATTATGTTTTCTCACAATAAAAATTATATCAAGAAATAAATATATATACTAATCAAATTTTTACATTAATATAAATATGCTAGTGAGATAATATACTAATTATTTTACAAGCTAGTTCTAGCATATTCATATTTAATGTCTGACTAAAAAAACATTGATTAATAAAAGATGTGGCAAATAGATTATAATTCTACTATTTTTTAGACTTAATGCTAATTAAAAAAAGGGAGAAAATAGATGATAACCTTACTGCTTTTTAGACTTAAATGGACAGATCATGTGATAATAACTCATTTAATAAATTTGTCTCGTGCATCAGACATGGTACGTACTAGTTAAATATTTTGGTAAAAAAAAAAAAACAATGATAATTAAAAGATATGGCAAATAGATTATAACTCTATTGTTTTTTAAATTTAATGTTGATTAAAAGAGATGAAAATTAAATAAGCGACAATTCTATTAATTTTTAAACTTAAACAGACATATCATGTGATAATAACTCATTTAATACTTTCAATTTTAGTTCTAGAAAGATCATTAAAATTCCAAGCACATTAATTTATGTGCATCTAGATAATGAATGTTAAATTGAACGGCGGTGCCGAAAATTTTGAATGATGGGCGCCTGTCATATATATGCAAGTTTTTAAGCCACTAAATTTATTTAGGTTCAGCTCATTCATTAACACACATTTAGACACAATACATATATGAACATGGCCATGTGGATGTTGTAAATGGAATAAATTTTAAGCTACATTAAAAATAAAATTTAATATATTTGAGCATGTGGGAGTTGAATATTGTAGATGGAATAAATTTTAAGCTACTTTTAAATAATTAAGAGAAATGAAATTAAATATGAGAACCATAGTTTTTAAAAGCGTCCCGGAAATCGACTCGGGCAGGTCTTCGGGTTACTGGTCACCGGTTCAACCGTCGGGTCACTGAGTCAATTGTTGAACCGGATAATTAATTTTAAAATTTTTGAAATTATATGTATAGTATTTTTGACATATAAATATACATAAAAATAACAAAAATAAATATTTTGTATACAAAATTTGTACATTTAAGTGTTAAAAATATAAATCTGAAAATAAAAATTTACTATGTCAGTATATAAACATAGTTTTTATTTTTTATATAAAAAAATTATAGAGAACGGGTCAACCGGGTTGATCCGGCCGGGTCAATGGACCGGGTCGACCAAGTCAAGGCCGGGTTGAGCAGGTTTTGACCGGGCCCAGTGTTACTCGGTCCAAATAATCCACTCGAAGAGTCGATCGGGCCTCGGGTCGACCCGACGAGCCGGTCGGGTTCACAAAACAATGATGAGAACTTAAAAGTCCTTGTATCACAATCAATTAAGCTCTCGATATCACCATATTTAAAGTCATTTTTACTTCTAATTTATCAACTATCAGTTGGATAAATGAACCAAATTCGGTGTCTCTTGAAAAAAAAACAAAATAAAATAAAAAAAATCAATCATGTCAAAATCCTAAATTCATTAATTTTGTAACTCTATTTACAAAACACACGAATCGTCTGAACCACAAAATACGTATTTACAATCAGGGGCGGACGCAGACTTTAAGGTCAACGGGGGCATAAATTATGGTCAACGGTCAACGTCGGAGGTCAACGGTCAAATTAATATTTAACTATTTAAAAAATAAAAAGATTAAATCTTGATCGAACACTATTTTTCGTATTTAATGGTTGCGGTTGAGTCTCACATTCTCATTTCAAAAATAGGGACATATTTGATCCAATTCCTATGTAGTATATACATTTATGTATAATATTTTTTTATATATTTTGGGAGGAGAAAGAAAATAAATAAGAAATTGAGTATAGCATAAAAATAAATTAATTCCACAACTTAATAAATAACATACTAGTTAAATAATTCTAAACATTTTCTTTTTATTTTTTATATTAAAATAATTATATAATAATTAATAACATGTATTTTTTATATCAATATAATAAATACATTTATACATATAATATATATATATATATAAATACACTTACTACAAATTCTACAGGGGCCCGTGCCCCTACGGGCCCCTATGTAGATCCGCCAATGTTTACAATTAACATTTCATGTACGCGTAAAAGTTCGTAAATGGCGATCAACGGCTCGACAAACAAACAAGAACAAAAACATAAATGAAAATCAAAACACAATCTTAATTTCATTGGATATAAGTTTACGTACACGAACGAAAAATGGCGATCAACGGCTCGACAAACAACGAAGATGAACCATGAAATTGAAACTCAAACAAACTCGAGCGAATAATTAAAATTAGAAAAAGTACCAAGATTAAACCTTTACTAAGCCTTTTATATTATATCCAAGGGTCGATGTTACCTACATAGCGACGATAGTAAAAAGTCAGAGCAAATCCTGTAGCTACAATAATTTTTATCTTATGTACAACTGCACTTCATATACATAAGATTTAGATAAACTTATTTGTGTATGCAATGAATTACCTTATATTGTACCTCAACTTCTTATCTTATGTTAAGAACTTATCTTAAACGTATACAATTTAGGACTATTTTTTCATTTATCTTAAGATAATTTTGAAATTAATTATAATTTCTTTTTCATTTACCAAAAATTGCACTGACAGACAAAGCGGTAGAAAACCAATTTTCTCACAAATTGAAGTGAAGAACTTCTTGAAAGGACAACAGCAGTAAAAAGGAAAAGGAACAAGAAAAATGAAGCTGAACAATTTGTACAATCTTTCTCTACTTTCTCCTATGATTTCTACCCTATTAATCGCCCGCTTTCAAGCCATCCCCGTCATTTGCTAGCTTGAATCCCCCCGTTAACAGAACACACGGGACGAGCGCCTACAATTTAGTTATTATAGTCTTGTTTATTCAACTGATCAAATAACAATCGATATCCTCATCAGCATTTTGTGGTCCGATGGAGAGCCTCAGCAAGGGATCCTCCTTGCGGCACAAGGCCAACCTACACGAACCTAACGGTGTTGTTTTCTCTTCCTCGACTCTCGGCCGAGGTGCCAGCTGGCAAACGAACACCTCTAAGGCTTCTTTCATCCATGCATGGGCACAGGCTTCCCTAGCCTCGTTCACCGTCATCTGAAATAACACAACAGGATAACTACATGGGGACTATATTAATAGTTTTTTTTTTTTTTTTTTTTTCAAGTTTAAAATGTTTTTATCAAATTTGCTCTAGCTCAATTCATGTTCGCGTTGACTAAAGGCGAGGCATTTAGACTCAAAGAAAACGAATTCAATCTTTAAACCTCATATGAGAGATTCTCCAAACATACTAAGAGCAAGTTCAATGTTGCGTTAGTACTCTACTTCAGAGTTGTGCGAAAAACTCGCTTCCAATGCTAGGGTAGAATTGCTCACACTACTCTGAAGATATGAACGATATTGCGCTTTTTTTTCAATTTTTATTTTCTTTTTAATTGATTATTATTCTATATATTATTTTGACAAAATATATAATAAAATAAACAATATTGTTGTATTTATATATTTTTTTTTTAACTAATATGTTTCTTGTAGAGTCAAATGTAGCGCGAATGACTGGTGATGAAAATTAAATTTTGGCATTCTCTAGTATCAACTCTACACTGGAGTAGAGCAGAGGATTGAAGATTGTCTAACTGAGCTTTAGACATAAGGATTAAAGCTCGAGCATACCCAAACTCGTCGGCGGACGTTTTTCTCGGGCCACGTGTCCAATTCCTCGGTGACCAACAAGGGAAACATCGAGCCCTCGTGATACTTCTCTTGGCTTTTGCTCTTGAATATCCATTCGCCTAGCTTTTCTCCGAGAAGGCCGATTACGCCGGCTTCCTCTAGAGTCTCTCGTGAAGCGGCTAATTCGATGTCCTCATCGAGTTCCCATCCGCCCTAATGAATGTAATAACAAAGACTTGAATCAAGTTTTATGAAAAATAAATGATAATTTTTTCAATAATTTGGCATCATTTGTGCAACAAACATATTGTACCTTTGGGAACATCATTCTTGGACTTTTTTGTGAGCTTATTAGAAGAATCTCTACATCTTCAATAAGAGTCCCATGGATTAGGTGAGAATTGTTGTTGTTGTTGTTGTTGTTGTTGTTTTTTCTGATCCTATATGGGATACATCTGCACAATTTTCCCAAAAAAAAAAAAAAAAGTTTGACAAATTAGACACAAATATTATAGTATTAACAATATAAAGCAAATCTATTGAAAATGATCCCCAAATCAACCCTATGCAGCTCACCAGAAACTTCATTAATAAACAAATAAAATCAAATAAAATAAATTCATAACAACCAACAAACAAACGGGAGATGTTACGGTCCCCTTACAGAACCCGACCGGTTACAAAACCCGATGGAATAATTTCGTAACGGGACCGTAATAATTCCCCCGAACAAACACGTATGTCAATGAAAACAAAGAACCCACAAATCAATTCATCCCAATTATCCTAAAAAAAAAATACAAAAATCCGAGAAATACAGAACAAATACATACCCAACAACCTGACGAAATCCCTGATTATAACGCTGTAAATGCCTTCCGGTACGAGAAGGCAAGCACACCAGCTTCTTGATTTGCATAGTCATATCAGTTACGAATTAATTGTCAAGATTAAATTTTTCCTCAAAAAATCAGAAAAAAAAAAAAACAATCTTGTAATAAGCAAAATCCTGACTATTTTTTTTATAGAATTATGCGAATCTTGAGTTCAAGAACGGTCGTGGGTCGACCAGAAAAATCGCAGTGTTAACGAGAATTGTTGGGTTAATATGGAGGGCAATAATTGAAGTTTTTGTTGATAAGTGATGTATGGTTGAGAGGATGTTTGTTGTTATATAGGAAAAAGAAAAGCAACGCAGCAAATTTATGGAGGGATTGGGGTTGAGCGGGTGAGGCTAAGGTGGGGCCCTTTGGCTTATATAGATTAGGGTAAGTCTAGAGACAAATTGCCTTTTTTTTTTTAATGTTACATAAATCATCAACTTGTAGTATGTCTTGATCAAAATGTGATATTATATTTATATATATATATATATTTGTATTTGTAATTTTTTTTTAAAATTTGTGGTTACCTAACATCACCCCTAATTGGTTAAATTTGGTTTTTGTTAAGTATCATTAAATTAGTTTTTATGGTTTATTTGGTCAAGTTCTAGAAAATTTGCTTTGGTAGAAGGCAGTTTTTCTATAAAACCATACGGTTGGTTTCCTTATGGAACCAACCACCAATGGGACAGCTCCACATGGGGCTGTCCCACATGAAAGTCATGTGGGACAGCCTCATGTGGAGCTGTCCCATTGGTGGTTGGTTCCATAAGGAAACCAACCATCTGGTTCCTTAGCAAAATTGTGGTAGAAGGAGCATTTTGAAAACAAGAATGTTGGAGCTTAATTCATAAGCTTTCTTTAAGTAGTTTAAAAAGTCTGTTGTAATTTTTATTTCAGTTGAGTTATCAGCTAATTTTATCAAATATTTTTATTATGTGTTACTTTTTCAGTTATCAGTCATAATCTATCGACTATAAACTTTGAAATTTATTCATAATTTGTCAACTATCAACTAGGTTTACCAACTATATAGCCTAAACCATGAACTCTAATTTAGTTTAGGGAAATTTACATAGATAGACTCTATATAAGAGTTGTTATCATATATACGATTGATATAAAGTTATATCAATTAAAGATTTGGTGGAGACTTTCTTTTTAAAAGATACGAGATCTATTTTTTCTCTCTCCACAAGATTTGTTCCTCTTTCCTAATAAAAGTCCCATTAATCTCTTTCCGAGAGTTTTTTTTCTCTCCAAATAAAAGTCATCCAATTAATTCTCTCTCCACGAGATATATATGTGTTCATCGACCTAAAAAAAAATCATCCATCTAGCTGAGAAAAAAATTCATCGATCGAGTTGCGAACAGAAAAGTTGGTGTTCGTGAAATCTCTTCTGATAATAACTCCTGAAGGTAATTACGTGTTCGTCTTTTTGATCTTGTGCTCAATAGCAACATTGTTGTGCTTTTTTTTTTTAACTTTTGATAATTTCTTACGTGACATGACGAGTGTTGATTTATAAATTTTCAAGAATATTTATGATGTAACTATATTTATCCATCACAATGGAGTATGAATCAACAATGAATACGCCGATATTATGTTGAAAACAATAAAGTATACGGAAGATAAACTTGAAATAAACAACACCAGAAAACTTTGGAAGATAATTTCGTTTATGATCATCGAAAAATATCCGCTGATCAAAACTTCGAAAGGTATATTGTTTATGTACATCAAATAAACATGATTTGACAGTTCTCTAATATTAAACGTATAGTTATACATCAGATAAACAAGATATAACCAACACTAAAAGATGATAAAAATATAATACACAATTTTGAATGACTGCAAAATCTAAATCGGATGTAGTTATACATAAGATAAACAACAAATGTGTACTATACAACTTTGTGCACTCCACAAAACAACACACTATTGTGTATACCTAACGTATAATTTGTGTATATGTTTACTACACTCCTTCAAACGGACAGACGGGCAAACGACTCGACATCTAAAGTGCAGGCAGATCCCGGTTGATGCGAACGAACTTCTCGGTGATGAACAGTCCGGTTGCAACGTCGAACGGCGGCCGACTCATGGACTGAGTCCTCGACGGTGATGGCGAACGAGGCGGCTGTAAGGAACTCTACTCGGTTGGGCCCGTGATGGCGGACTGTTCGCTTGGAGAACCATCGGTGGCTCATGGAAAGGCTGCTCGGAGGACAAACAGTGCTGCTGCTTCTCCCTGGGATGGTTGCATTACTTCGGGAAGCAGGACGCGGCTGCTTACGTCTAGGCTGCGGGGAGGGTGGATCTTGGCGATGGCAGTGGCGTGGCTTTGAAGCCCGTGGCTATGGTTGCTCGCGGTTTGGGTCTGAGGTTTCCTCGACAAGGGCTTGTTGCGAGGACACATGTGAAATGCGGCGGCGACATGGGCTGCTTTGCGAGGGCGAGATGTTGAACGACGGACAGATTGCGCGGGTCTGCTAGGGCAAATTTCTGCGCGACCTTACCTCACATTTTTTTCTCCGTCCACCGTGGCGGCTCACCTTACCTCACCGCCCATGAGTAGGAGCCAACAATGGCGGTGTTTCTTGTCTTGGCCTCTTTTTAAATGGTACTGGTTAGAACAGTAACTTGGTTCTCCAGTGGTGTTGTCCGTGCTGGCTGGTGTCCCTCGTTGGCTCAGATCTAAGCATGAGGCCTAAGGATCCTCTCCTCGTCAGATCTACCTAGCCAGTTTGAGTTGGACCGGAGTTTCTAGATCTGAGGGCTATAGATTTATGGTCATTAGTTTGTCTATGGTTTTGCGGACAGGATCGTGTGGCGACAATGGTGGATTTTGTAGAAGCATGAGAGGAATTATTCTACTTGTAGATTTGTGTAGTAGTCTTTTCGCTTATTTTTCTTTAGCTGTTTAGAGTCCAGTTGTGTCTGCCTTTTAATTTCCTTGTTTTGAGCTTTTGTTGTTGTTTATATTTAGTATGTGAATTTCAAGAAAAATGGCTTTCAGAAATAGAAGGAATTTTGTTAAAACGAACAAAGTCAAGGCACGTAAGATACGCTCTCCTTAAGACGAAATAGCCTCGTATATTACACACGGTTCACGGCTAACGCCTCCAAGATACAACGACTTTATGATTTGTGTATAGCGGTAACTCAAATACACAAACCTTCGACGAACAATACTTATGTTTTGAACTCTCAAGATAGAAAAGAACAAAGAACACAAAATGAATATGATCAACTTTGTAATAAGGATGCAAAGGTTATGAAATAATTTGATGTCTTGAATGGTTTCATGCTAGTGGGTATTTATAGATGTAGAGAGACACCTTCAAGAGGTTTAAGTGTCAAAAGACACATTTTGGGACGTGCCCGAATAAGAACGGATTTCCACAGTCAGTTGCGCGCCCGTGCGTCGTGGACTCGTACGAGCTCATACGGACTCGGAATCGAGTTCCGTTTTTTCTTAATTGTCCCCAATGAGTCCCTCTACAATTCTAGCATACATAATGCATATTTATGGCTCGTTTAGTTTGTTCAAATATTTATTAAAATATAATGTTTGTGAACCCTACAACCTTTTGAGTTATTTAAACTCAATTAATTAAAATATAACACTTAGAATTAATTTCTCATTCACCTTAAAAAAGTTTTGTGAATTTCTTAAGTCTTCTACTAACGAAAAATAGAATCGTTAAATCAGTACAATTCCAATTTTTTCTTACACTTATTTCCTTCAGTAGGAGTGTTTATATGTTCGTGTCAATCCCCTTTTATTGATTGCGTTCCAAAAAAGAGGTCGATCCAAACTTTGTTCTAGTTATTCTGATGTCAGTTGATATCTTAGGTATTCTCTGTTTTCGAGTTTTATAATGTAATTATTGTTTTTTAAAAATAATATTAGTTTAATTTCTTAAATGTAGTTACTCATTATAAAATTGGCCCGACGACTCTTCTAGTGAATTGATAACCCATTGATCTATATCCAGCCTGAATCATTGTCACGTCAAAGTTAAAAACTTTGATATAAGGGTGTGTTTGTTCATGGTGTAAAAAATTTAACGGGTATATCCATAACTATTAGGCGGAATTGAATAAACCCTAAGGATGTAATTCTATCAATTCATAGAACATGGATCTTTGCATAAATTAAATTGCACATAGAAACTTACAAGAATCCAGCTATAGTCCTTCCCTGTTCATCTATGATGTTGATCTACTATCATCTTTCTCGTAATCTTCAATGATGGATTCGTCTCGTAATCTCCAACAATAAATTCGTCTTTGCCTATGAATTAATTGTTTCTCTCTCCCGCGTCTCTCGTCTTTCCATAAAGCCCTTGATGTTGAGAACTTTATTTCGTATATGATGGGAGAGAGGGGTATGTAGTATATATAGGAGGAGGAGACTTAGAATCCTAATCATACTACCATTCCCCATGTTCTAACCTAACTTACTGTCCAAGTCAAACATCACACATTGGACTCTTTAATATTAGAACATTAAATAATCTATTAAATACATATTCATCTTTAATACAGTTTGACTATTAATTCAATTAGGTCTAACTAATTATATGGTCCACAATAATAGAATAATATACAAAATATTATTACATTCTCCCACTTGGACCATATAAGTATTGAAACCCAAAGAATTATTTTAAGCGCGCACCTTTCATCAAACTTATAATTGGATACATATATCTATAAGTCTAAAATTAAAATAGAAATTAACCGAGTCATGGCGGTCACAAGTCTTCGAGCGACATGATCCCTTCCATGTACCACAAATCATTTCTAATTCAACTTTACTTTAATATGGAACAAACTATTTGTACCATAACCATAAGCCATCCAACTTTTATGTATATACTATAAAATCGAATATCCATAATGATGGTATTATATGTGAAGAATCAAACATCTTTTATTGAATTCAATAAGTATCAAATCAATAATTGAGCAATTTCATTCAGTATCGGTCAGTCCAACAAGGCCCCATTCGTTAATCCCAA